ATGACCCATGATTTCTCTACTGTGTGCACACTTGCCTCCTCCCCTTGGCAATAAATTACACATGATATCTCTATACTCTTTGTGTCACACTTGCCTTCTTCCCTTGGTAACAAATGCCATATCCTCTCTCTAAACTCTGTGTGTCACACTTGCCTTCTTCCCTTGGTAACAAATGCCATATCCTCTCTCTAAACTCTGTGTGTCACACTTGCCTTCTTCCCTTGGTAACAAATGCCATATCCTCTCTCTATGCTCTGTGTGTCACACTTGCCTTCTTCCCTTGGTAACAAATGCCATATCCTCTCTCTAAACTCTGTGTGTCACACTTGCCTTCTTCCCTTGGTAACAAATGCCATATCCTCTCTCTATACTCTGTGTGTCACACTTGCCTTCTTCCCTTGGTAACAAATGCCATATCCTCTCTCTAAACTCTGTGTGTCACACTTGCCTTCTTCCCTTGGTAACAAATGCCATATCATCTTTCTGAACTCTGTGTGTCACACTTGCCTTCTTCCCTTGGTAACAAATGCCATATCCTCTCTCTAAACTCTGTGTGTCACACTTGCCTTCTTCCCTTGGTAACAAATGCCATATCCTCTCTCTAAACTCTGTGTGTCACACTTGCCTTCTTCCCTTGGTAACAAATGCCATATCTTCTCTCTAAACTCTGTGTGTCACACTTGCCTTCTTCCCTTGGTAACAAATGTCATATCCTCTCTCTAAACTCTGTGTGTCACACTTGCCTAAATCGATTAACAACTTGCATTTTCCAATACACACCTCTTCCTGACAGGTCAAGACAAACGTTGAATCATCTCATTATGATAGTGTCCCAGCGTCAACACATAACAGCTAGTCATGTGTGCAACATAACCAATAGGTAGAGCTATCTCTTTGTGGTTGTCGATGCCCAGGTACGCAAAGCTAACTTTTGCATTATTGCATTTTCATGCCGAGCAAGAATGACAGCATGACCTTCATCTTGCATTTCACAATTTACCGTTGTACTCGTGTCAAGAGCATCACTAAGAATTAAAAAGAAAGTGTTTCTTTGAAACAAAAGAGATTCACAATGCAATATGGTATGACATGTTTGCCGTAGTCTCCGTAGTGTGCCTGTTTCACAAATTACGCTGTAGAGTGTTTCGGAAAGAGATTTTCACACACAGTTGGAATTTTGATGTTTGGTATTCTCAAAGGCCAGCAGCCACTACACATGAAAGTTTAATCATGAATGAATATTTTGTAGTGGGAGAAACCTAAATTAACTGAAACATTGTGAGCCCATTGCTGTTCTTCGTGGTTGACGACTACTGTGTGGGTTATAGCTCTCCATAATGCTTTGTTTGGAAACACTCCTCAAGTAAGATATGAACACAAGTAGTTTTTAAGATTATATTTGGTACGAACCTGGCATAAGATATCCGGTAATGTTTTTAGTGTGATGGGTAGGAGTTGCAATTAGTGCACAAAAGATTTTCCTAGGGCTTGTATTGCAGCTCATTCTGAGCAATCGGCGGCGAAACTGAGGTTGTGAATATAACCAATCGTTGTGATTAATCTGAGGTTGGCATTTGTACATTCTCTTTGACGATCTCTTACAAATTCACTCAGGTGGCTTCTAATATTAATAGTTTCTTTACCTTTTGCATTTGTTAATAGTTCACAGCCATAGAAGGAAGCTAGTCTTAAGAACCATTCGCTGCCAGATTTTGACAGAGCTAGCAGGGTGGAGGTCAGTGTGATTAACTCCTAGTAGTCTCAGCAAACCTTTACCAATTTCCGGTTTTGCACGAGAGATAATACGATAGGAGAATTCCGTCTCATGTAAGTAAAAGCGACTAAGGTGAGCGTACCCTGCCCCACCGGCGGCACCCGTCACAAATACATACAGGCATGTCAGTTGTTCAGTTGAAAGAACACGGGAAGATGTGGTACAAGTCAAAATAGGGAATTGCATTGGATTTCAAATTTGGAAAGGTCCTCCCCATGTCTTCCATTAAATGTTTTGAAAGCTTTACTGAGGTCCTAACACCTTTTGTAACCTTGATCAAACAACTTCTGAGCAAGAGTTGTATGGCACTCTTTGAAATCTTCGTGGAAAGAGCATGTTCGATTGTTCCTCAAACTCCAATAACTGCCCCCTGACCAACTCCTTGACCATGAAATCTGTTTATAATCTTTAAAAGCGCCCCATACTAAAATCGAAAATTTACATGAAAGTCCGTATTTTCTTTGGTATGTTACAAAAGGGGTACATGATTACATTCCAACTTTTATCAAAAACATTTTAGTTTCGTAGATGTTTGAACTAAGTCTATCCGCTACTGCTCGATCTCTGAAAACGAATTTATCTTGTGTTGCATTTATTGTAATATATGCCCCCTTTTGTCAATTTTTCATGATTTCGCGGCGCTTATTACAGTGAATACAGTAATTGAAATATTCGAAGATTGATTGAAAGGTCAAAACGACCAAGCAGTCGAACGCAATTTGCAGTAATCAAACACAAACTATTTTGCTCCATCTCTCAAGTTCTCAAATGTGCTGATCTTTTACTTAGGTATATTTACTACTTCCTACTTGGTACATTGCAATGTAATGAATGGTAATGTTGTAGTTTTATTCATTGGGGGATCATAATAACTGTACAGAAACAAGTGATTTAAAAACAATCCACGGATTTCTGCGTTAGAAGTAATTGATTGATTTATGGCCCTATTTGGGAGTTTTATGGGACCAACACTACGTCAGTGCGTGGCGGGTCATGGCAAAACTCTCTAAATAAATCAGGTTAAATTCTAAATATATAGTATTCAAGAAGTTAAAGAACATTCTTTCTTATATTTGCGGGTGTTCTTCAACTTTTTTTAGTAGTGAGCATAAAACTAGTAACTCCCGTGAAAGGGTCAATTAAGTTTCGCAAAAAATCGCAATTTATCCTTAGACTTTCTCTGGAGTTTTTACGAAAAAAAAGTAAAAGTAAAATACTTTCCTGTTGAAGTGTATGTGAATCATGCTACACTACAAGAAAGTAAATACATGCATGTATGCAAACTAAACGAGACAGCAGTCTGTATCTGGATCTAACAAATATATCCACAACAAAATGTTGAAAAGTTCTAGCTTTAAAAGGCAAAATAGCGATGAAAATTATAGGAATGGATCACTGAATATCTGCAAAACCCTTTTTAATGTACGGCATTATGGGAAATATTGCTTTCTCGCTCTATCGCTTTCTCACCCTATCGTTTTATCACTTTCTCGTATCGTCCTATCGATTTCTCGCTTTCTTGTAGTGAGTGAGTATGGTTTTCGCCGCTTTTAGCAATATTCCAGCAATACTACGGCGGGGGACACCAGAAATGGGCTTCACACATTGTACCCATGTCAGGAAACGAACCCGGGTCTTCGGCGTGACGAGCGAACGCTTTAACCACTAAGCTACTCGACCGCCCCCGCTTTCTTGTATCGTTCTTCCGTTCTATCGTTTTCTCGTTGGTCTGGAACATAAATTGTGTAAATGTAGTATTACAATACTCAAACACAGTATGGAACAAAATGTATAACAAACCTTTCCGAAAACAAATTCCCACTCATTCGGGTTCTCGGGATATTTCTGGAACTTTATGTCTCCAGTTTGACTTCATTCCATTCATTTGCCGAATCTGACTGAGAAATTCAATATTATCGTCGAAATATTTTACATTAATCTTTAAACGTTTTGGAACACATTTTATCTTAAAACAGTAAGTACCCATATTATACACATACATCTGCAACTATATCAGTTTTATACTGAAATTAATTTAGTGCAATAAATTTGGTTTGTGTTTTTGGCACTAATAACCGGTCCAGCTATAGGACGGCGGCCTGTTTATAATAAAATCTATCAGGAATATTATTGTGAGCAAGATCCATGTCACCGAGGCATGATGACACACACTCAACTAAGTCACACAGACCATAACTGGAATTTTGATCCCGGATGGTACATGGCTCGCAGTGTGACACAATGGGTGTTCCACATGCTCTGCGAACCATCTGGGTGGTTTCCTGACAGATAATCGCCCAGCAGGACACATCCGTCCCATGACACCTGGCAGATATCTGGACACATGGCACGTGATATATGGCGTAATTGGGCTGTTTCGTCTTATCCCTCAACCATAATTAAAAATGATCTTATTTAAAGTTGGCATCTACGACGGAAGTTGTAATCAGTCGCGAGAATGTTGACAGTTTTGATAACCCGCAACACAGGCACTAAGCACATAAGCACTAAGCACATAAATGCCTATATACATGGAACGACAATGGCGTGAGAGAAAGAAGGCTAGAAGTGGTGATGGACACAAAGAGAGAGAGAGGGAAAGACACAGAGACGAGGGTGAAATAGGGAGAGTGAGTGAGTTGGATTGTACGCCGCAGTTAACAATATCACCAGAATATGAGCTTCGAGTATTGTACCCAAGTGGAGAATCGAATCATCCACCCGAAATAGAGAGAACGAGAGAGATTCAGATTCAATCTTTCAAATGTTTTTTTTCTTTGTTATATTTTACCATCCAGGGTGTACATCAGCCTCTTTTTACAGATGTAGTTATTTGTATATCTTGAAAGCTCCCTAGACATGCACCACATGCGTATCACTTTGATGAGCTTTTTAATACTGTGTCTTGGTTTCAAGTTTCAGATACACGAATTACCACTGCGTGATGACAAATAACAAACACGCAATAGACGTCATACAGCGTATAACTGATACTCCTATTTAACGCATGCACATTCCTATCTATTAACCAGGATGTACAACGCTTTTTTTATACTCCTTGTAATACGATGACATTATAACCTTCACCTTGAAAACCTATTTTCATGAGAGCATTTAGTAACTCCCCAGAAATATATCAAGGACTTGTCACACATGTGTCAAACATGCTCGGTGGTTAAGTTTCAAATTGTTATAAAATATGCTTCATGTGGTTTGGCGTTCTTCAGGAATGAAACGGATGTTGAAATGCAGTGACGGGTATATAAAGCAACCCCGTATACTGCCCGTGTCAGTAAGACAGTCTGGTTAAGATGGGTGCAGTAATGCGGCGGCAGCAACAACATAATGAAGTGAGACACGACGATAACACATCACTTCCTCAAAATGACCCCCAGAGAACCAGCAGGCTGCAGATGTTGGACGGGGCAAGAGTGCTGTATGAAATTGACAACTCCGACAAGGAATTGCCGATTAAGGTAGGTTCTTAAGAATGTACTTTTTATTAGAATGTCCAAAACTCTCAGAAATTAGAAACAAGTTTTTGCCTCAATACTACTGTATCTATCCTTCTGCCATACATTTTCTCATTTGATGTCCATTACTTATAAGCCAATTCTATTAAAACTGGCGAGTTATATAAGATCATGTATGGAAATGTTCCACTGACATGTTTTCTCCTAGTGTATCTAACTCCTGTATCCAATTACATCTCTGTATCACTGCCGTGATTTACGAGAATAAACATCATTCATTCATTCTAAGTAGGTTTCTCTGCTCTCGATTGAAAAAACAATTGCCAGGAACACTGCTCAGCCCAGTCCAATCTCTTTGTTCAGCAGCCTCGCCTGGTCTGTCCAACCTCTTTGTTATACGAGCAGCATGGCCGTGTCAAAGTCAAAGTAAAAGTTAAAAGATATTTATCGTACAAAAGGCCTCCTGCCTATATACAAGAAAGAGTTACGCATGTAGATACAATTATAACTGTTACACATTGGGATATACACGTTGTTTGATTTATTCATTTCTTTTGGCTAAAGTATGCTTAATATAAAGAGAAAGATTTAATACATTAGATTCGTTCTTTGTCGTCAGAATAACTACAAATGACATAAGGCCATTAGATAATCTATTATATATTTCTTTAGAAGATCATTGTAAAATCTACAGACAAACTTAAAATGAATTTCATTTTCTATCTCTAGAGTACATAATGGACAAATTCTTTTCATTTTTTCAGTGGACAGTTTTCTTCCTTCATTTACAAATAGGTCTAGTAAACTAAGTCGATATTTAATTAAATGTGTTCTTAGGTTTTCCGCAGTGAGTACTGATAAATATATTTCTGGTTGAAGTAAAGTCTTGAAAGTTTTGTAATATTCAAAACGTGAACTATTCCTTAAAGTAGGAATGCCTTTCTTGGTAGATCATAGTTATGGAACGATTTCGAAATTCATTAAGAAACATATTTACATTTCCAATTGACTGACATAGCCATATAAAACCAAAACCATGGGAAAATAAAAGATTTCTTACATGAGATATCCAAGTATTCTTTCCCATGTTATCTAAATGTAGAAGCATGTTATAAAGCTAAATTAGGGAGACGTTGTTCATGCGTATGAAGGATTAGAAATCAGTATTTTAAACATCTAATCTGAGAGTTAATATATAATGGGTATCTACCACATTCACCATAAACCATACAATTTGGTGTAGCAGATCCAAAACAAGCAAACATTTTTCATGCTAGTAAGTGAACCTTCCCTGAACAGTCGTAACGTTGAAATCCTCATACTTTCAAAGCAAACAATAAAATAGGTTGTATCTGGGCATAAAAAACTTAAAGAAGATATAAGGTGACATCGTTACAAGTTAATGAGCAATAGCCATTACACTTTCTTTGCACGCAAGGACAATACGAAAGCACTTTTTTTCCAATTCATTGTGTGTGAGAACAAGATTCCTAAATATGAATAGTGATCTGCTATATTGACTAACTGACCATCGAATGACCACATTTCTTTCGACGCCAATGGACCACCTTTTTTTAAGATCACAATTTTATTTTATTTTCTCCAAATTTACTGATAATGTCCATTCTTTCGTGTATGTACTTAAAATATTTAATTGCCTTTTTAGACCAACAAAAGTATCTGATACTTAAATAACATCATCTGCGAAAAGTAGCATTAATCTTTCTTTCAAATATGGAAATAGTTGGATACCATGTTTACCTTTGGCAGCTTTTTCGTAATATAATTCATTACAAGATAGACACACTTTTATGGATATGGTAATGCCTATTAAACAATTTATATAATTCATTACTGGAAAATGAAAATAAGATCGGACTCAAAATGCAGCCTTGTGTTAGGCCCAAAGGACAATCCAAGAAATATGTTACACCATCCCCACAACGAACACATGATCTTCTCACATTAGAATACATTGATTTTAGAATAGTAAACATTTTCCCACCTAAACCAACGTTTCATAGACATGTCCATAGCTTAAAGCGATTAACAGAATCAAAAGCCTTTTTGAAATCTTCAAATGCTACATACAATTTATGCTTGCGTAGTAACAAGGTTTCTTGAATAAGTGCATAAAGTGTAAATATATGCTCTGAGGCATTCAGAATGAGGCTCGCCCATTCAGAAATTCTATTGTTTAATATTGTAGTAAATACTTTTCTAATATGCTCATTAATGAAATAGATCTGTAATTATCTGGTCAGTCCTGTCTCCTTTTTTATGCATGGGGATTATTATAGAACATGACCAATTGTTGGGGAAAACTCCGTTTTCAAATAACTTATTGGAACACTTCAACATTTCGATAACTATAACATGATGACCAGCTGCTTTTCCCTTTTTGAGGTGATGTATCGCATCTATTATTTCGTTTCCAACAATGGGTAAATGTAGCATAACTTTATCAACATCCATTAAGCATTCACTAATATTATTTTGCATTTCATCAATTGCCGTAGTGAATTTTGTATCATTTGAAAAAAACCCTTCTTAAAATGACTATGCCACTGCGATTTTGATTTGTTATCTGTAGCAGAAGATCTGTTGTTGAGAGATCGTATTTGTTTCCAGAACGCAGAAGGGTTGTTAATAGACATTTTTTCAGTTTGTCTTATCTATGTCTACGCATATCAAATTTGAGTTTTGAAATCAGCAATTTTTGTATCTATTCCTACTTTCGCAATATTTCTTTCTGTCAAGACTAGTACGAGTAGATCTAAATCTTCGTAGCCCTTTGCGGGCGTTACGTCTTGCAATTCTACACCCAGTTTTAAAACTATTATTTTTTATCCATGTTCAGTTTTAATTCTTTTCTCATACAAGATGCTGAAGCATAATTTCAACAAACTCATCAAATGCCCCCTCAATATGATTATCAAGTTTATCGAGAAGTTACTGTTTAAAATATGTTATACTTTCTTGTAGCTTGCTCAGAAAATTGTTCGAAAATTCGTCATTCCATATTAGTTTCCTCTTAGTGACACCGGGGCACGGGTGGCCCAGTCGTCTAAGGCGCCGCAATTCGCTGTGCAGAGTTGCGTCCCTTGGGCAGGCCAGAAACCTATGATTGTGGGTTCGAATCCCGGTTCTCCCCGATCATGTTTCTAGGTTTGTCAGCACCATACCCGTGCTCGTGGGTTTCACCGAAGTGGTAAACGTCTTAGACCTGCATCACTTCAGGCTTTCCTCCCTCAATAAGCTGACACGCCGTGATATAACTGGAATAATGTTAAAAGCGGCGTTAAACCCAACACACACACACACACTCTTAGTGACACCCTTATGTTTTAATTTGTTATATATGTTTGATTCATATGAGGGAACTTACAAGTCAATTCCAAAGGTACATGATCAGATTCTAGACGATCTCCAATATTCAACATGTTAATATAATGAAACAAATCGGGAGAACATATAAAATGATCATAAACGCTCGCACCTTGGTTTCGACAATAGATACATTCTCCAAAGAAATAACCATACACTCTCCCATTGACAGTGAACAACTGAAATGTATACAACATATCTAGCAGCATCTGACCAAATTTATTTATAACTATTTAGTAATAGTAATATTCATTACGGTTTCTCCACACACGTGCCGTACCATCGTTGAAGTCAAGGCAGAATCTTGACTCGTCTGTGAAGAGAACGTTACGCCTGCGATTGACCCTCCAGTTACGGCCTTGATTGGCCCAAGCAAGTCTCTGTTGACGATGGTGTGCAGGCAGTGGGATACGTCGTACTGGTCGTCTGGACCTCAGATCCTGAGCGTGAAGTCTGTTTCTTACTGTCTGTGTTGAGACTCTGTTTCCTGCAACTCTCTGAAGGTCATTCTGGAGAGATTTGGCCGTTGTAAACCTGTTTCTCCGGGATGGGTTGCTAAATACCGGTCCTCACCCTTTGACGACCTGTGCGTGGTCTCTCTGCCATTAGTCCAGTTTGATGGTATCGAGTTATCGCCCTTGAGATGACACTGCGGTGAACATTAAAATGATTGGCAACAGCAGTTTGGGTGAGACCCCCCTGTACCATTCCAACAATCTGAGCAACCTCCTTTGGCGTCAAGTGGCGCCTAGCCATGTCTAAAGTGTTAATGTCGACAAATTGCCCTTGCTTGCAGTTTTTAAGCAATCAGGGTGCATGGGTGAAATGTGTAAAACATGCATGTCGTGCATTTTGCATGTGTGTTTTGAGGGTGGTTGTGTTCAGGCGATGTTATCAGTGTTATCAGGAAAATCTACATGGAACAGGCTTTAAGTCGAGTATTCGTAGGTAATTCTCCTGCCTGAATTTGTTCTCAATGGATGGCATTCAACACTGATGAGAATGTTGCACAGAAAATAATACTTGTTGCTTAACATTTTGTGAGGAGAATACATTGTATCATGATCTGTTTCATGGTGTTTATATCTCAATGTAATTCTGTAACAGAATCCTCCAGTTTTTCACATTTTGAACTGATTTATATCAGTCTGCCCAGCCTTGTCAGTTCACCCATTTATATCAGTCTGCCTAGCCTTGTCATTCCACCCATTTATACCAGTCTGCCTGGCCTTGTCGGTCCACCCATTTATACCAGTCTGCCTGGCCTTGTCGGTCCACCCATTTATATCAGTCTCTCTAGCCTTGTCGGTCCACCCATTGATATCAGTCTCTCTAGCCTTGACAGTCCACCCATTGATATCAGTCCGCCTAGCCTTGACAGTCCACCCATTTATATCAGTGTGCCTAGCCTGGTCGGTCCACCCATTGATACCAGTCTGCCTAGCCTTGTCGGTCCACCCATTTATATCAGTCTCTCTAGCCTTGTCGGTCCACCCATTGATATCAGTCTGTCTAGCCTCTTCAGTCCACACATTGATATCAGTCCGCCTAGCCTTGACAGTCCACCCATTTATATCAGTGTGCCTAGCCTGGTCGGTCCACCCATGTTTATCAGTCCGCCTAGCCTGGTCGGTCCACCCATGTTTATCAGTCTGCCTCTTTATGGGATCAGGGTCCCTGAGTCAGGCCAACCGTATGTACTCGTATCAGCCACCTGGCCAGGCATGCCCAACCTCTTGATACGAGCAGCCTCGACTCCTCAGTCCACCCATTGATATCAACAGTCCTTTGTCAATCTACTATCTTTTAAGAGCGACCCGCCGGGTCAGTCCACCCATTGATATCAGCAGTCCTTTGTCAATCTACTATCTTTTAAGAGCGACCCGCCGGGTCAGTCCACCCATTGATATCAGCAGCCAGTCGGCCTTCCTTACACCACCTGGCCTTGATGCGGCTGTGTAATATTGTACCTTGCTTCTCTCAGACACCTGGGAGTCACGAGTGGCACAGTAGCTTCAGTTGTTAGAGTCGCTTTCCTTGTTCGCCCCAAGACCAGTACATCCTTTTTTTTTATCAGCACCATACCCATGCCGCCACTCCCCCACCCCCACCCCACCCCCACCCCCCACACACACATGAGCCGAGCCTTGATATAAATGAGATACTGCCCCGTTAAACTCAGTCGCTCACTGTAGACATACGTATAACTTCTTTTTTCCTAATTAGGTACTGAACCTGCCGCCTGAGAAGGACTTTTCATGTCGCTATAAAGTGAGTTGCCTTATTATAAGCCTAAGTTCAAAGGTACACGGCTTGTAAATGTAAGATAATACAAGTACCACAGTGTTTAGAAATAGTGTACAATTGTACACATTCTGCGTAGCACAACATTGATTTGAATGAAAGTAAAGCAATACACATACCATATAGCATCACAGTCATAAGAAAGAATATTAAATTATAGATACTACATAGCACTCCAGTGATTTGAATTAATGTGATATTATAAACATACTACATACCACAACAGTGATTTGAATGAATGTATAATTGTACACATTCTGCATAGCACCACAGTGATTTGAATGAATGTACAATTATACACATACTATATAGCACAAGAGTGATTTGAATGAATGTACAATTATACACATACTACATAGCACCACAGTGATTTGAATGAATGTAAAATTATACGCATACTACATAGCACCACAGTGATTTGAATGAATGTACAATTGTACACATACTACATAGCACCACAGTGATTGGAATGAATGTACAATTGTACTCATACTACATAGCACAACAGTGATTTGAATAAATGTACAATTGTACACATACTACATAGACCCACAGTGATTTGAATGAATGTAAAATTATACACATTCTGCATAGCACCACAGTGATTTTGATGAATGTACAATTGTACACATACTACATAGCACCACAGTGATTTGAATGAGTGTACAATAATACACATACTACATAGCACAGCAGCGATTTGAATGAATGTACAATTATACACATTCTACATAGCACCACAGTGATTTGAATGAATGTACAATAATACACATACTACATACCACCACAGTGATTTGAATGAATGTACAATAATACACATACTACATAGCACCACAGTGATTTGAATGAATGTACAATTGTACACACACTACATAGCACCACAGTGATTTGAATAAATGTACAATAATACACATACTACATAGCACCACAGTGATTCGAATGAATGTACAATTATACACATTCTACATAGCACAGCAGCGATTTGAATGAATGTACAATTGTACACATACTACATAGCACCACAGTGATTTGAATGAATGTACAATTATACACATTCTACATAGCACAGCAGCGATTTGAATGAATGTACAATAATACACACACTACATAGCACCACAGTGATTTGAATAAATGTACAATTATACACATACTACATAGCACCACAGTGATTTGAATGAATGTACAATTGTACACACACTACATAGCACCACAGTGATTTGAATAAATGTACAATAATACACATACTACATAGCACCACAGTGACTTGAATGAATGTACAATTATACACATTCTACATAGCACCACAGTGATTTGAATGAATGTACAATTGTACACACACTACATAGCACCACAGTGATTTGAATAAATGTACAATTATACACATACTACATAGCACCACAGTGATTTGAATGAATGTACAATTATACATATACAACATAGCAGAACAGTGACTTGAATGACTGTAAAAATTATACACATTCTGCATAGCACCACAGTGATTTGAATGAATGTACAATTATACACATACTACATAGCACAACAGTGATTTCAATCAATGTGAGATTATACACATACGACATAGCACCAAAGTTTTTTGAAGGAATATATTTCAAATTATACACATACTACATAGCACCACAGTGATTTGAATGAATGTACAATTGTACTCATACTACATAGCACAACAGTGATTTGAATGAGTGTACAATTATACACATCCAACATAGCACAGCAGCGATTTGAATGAATGTACAATTATACACATTCTGCATAGCACCACAGTGATTTGAATGAATGTACAATACTACACATACTACATAGCACCACAGTGATTTGAATGAATGTACAATTGTACTCATACTACATAGCACAACAGTGATTTGAATGAGTGTACAATTGTACTCATACTACATAGCACAACAGTGATTTGAATGAGTGTACAATTATACATATACAACATAGCACAGCAGCGATTTGAATGAATGTACAATTATACACATTCTACATAGCACAACAGTGATTTGAATGAATGTACAATTATACACATACTACATAGCACCACAGTGATTTGAATGAATGTACAATTGTACACATACTACATAGCACCACAGTGATTTGAATGAGTGTACAATTATACACATACAACATAGCACAGCAGCGATTTGAATGAATGTACAATTATACACATACCACATAGCACCACAGTGATTTGAATGAATGTACAATTGTACACATACTACATAGCACCACAGTGATTTGATTTCTTCCTTTTGTTGATTTAAGGTGTTCTTTGTCTGGAAAGCAGCTCTCCTCCTATTTGGGACAATACAAGTGTGGTTGTCGGATTTGATACGATGGTTTAAGCAACTGATAATGCCTTGGAAAGCGAAGCTGAGCTACCTTGATGAACTGAAGCAGCTTTACAAAGAACCCGACTATCCCGAACCAAAATATGTAGGTTTGATGACTGAAGGGACGATAGGCACAATACCTATTTATGATGTGTGTCTTCATGCATAGCAACACCAAAGACCTGTTTAGTTATAATGTTCTTCGGGTAAAAGGTCAGATCATAACCCATTCAGAGGCATGGTTATGATGTGGTTCTTCGCGTATACAGGGGCCTCAAGCTTGTTTATCATATGGTTAAAAAAAGGTGTTGAAGCTTGTTTATTCTTTGCTTCTTTGTGTATACACGTGCCTAAAACTTGTTAATGGTATGAATCTTCATGTACGTGGGTGCCTGGGTGCTTGTTTATTCTTTGGTTCTCCGTGTAGGCAGGTGCTTAAAGCTTGTTTATTCTTTGGTTCTCCGTGTAGGCAGGTGCTTAAAGCTTGTTTATTCTTTGGTTATCGTGTATGCAGGTGCCTAAAACTTGTTTATTCTATGGTTCTTCGTGTATGCAGGTGCCTAAAGCTTGTTTATCATATAGTTCTTTTGTGTATGCAGGTGCCTAAAGCTTATTTATTCTTTGGTTCTTCGTGTATGCAGGTGCCTAAAACGTGCTTATCATATGGTTCTTCGTGTATACAGTTGCTTAAAACTTGTTTATCATATGGTTCTTCGTGTATGCAGGTGCCTAAAACGTGTTTATCATATGGTTCTTCGTGTATGCAGGTGCCTAAAGTTTGTTTATGCTATGGTTCCTCGTGTATGCAGGTGCCTAAAGCTTGTTTATGCTATGGTTCCTCGTGTATGCAGGTGCCTAAAGCTTGTATCTCATATGGTTCTTTTGTGTATACAGGTGCCTAAAGCTTGTTTATTCTTTGGTTCTTCGTGTATGCAGGTGCCTAAAGCTTGTTTATCATATGGTTCTTCATGTATGCAGGTGCCTAAAGCTTGTTTATCATATGGTTCTTCATGTATGCAGGTGCCTAAAGCTTGTTTATTCTATGGTTCTTCATGTATGCAGGTGCCTAAAGCTTGTTTATTCTTTGGTTCTTCACGTATGCAGGTGCCTAAAGCTTGTTTATCATATGGTTCTTCATGTATGCAGGTGCCTAAAGCTTGTTTATCATATGGTTCTTCATGTATGCAGGTGCCTAAAGCTTGTTTATTCTATGGTTCTTCATGTATGCAGGTGCCTAAAGCTTGTTTATTCTTTGGTTCTTCGTGTATGCAGGTGCCTAAAGCTTGTTTATCATATGGTTCTTCATGTATGCAGGTGCCTAAAGCTTGTTTATTCTATGGTTCTTCGTGTATACAGGTGCCTAAAGCTTGTTTATCATATGGTTCTTTTGTGTATACAGGTGCCTAAAGCTTGTTTATTCTTTGGTTCTTCGTGTATGCAGGTGCCTAAAGCTTGTTTATGCTATGGTTCCTCGTGTATGCAGGTGCCTAAAGCTTGTTTCTCATATGGTTCTTTTGTGTATACAGGTGCCTAAAGCTTGTTTATTCTTTGGTTCTTCGTGTATGCAGGTGCCTAAAGCTTGTTTATCATATGGTTCTTCATGTATGCAGGTGCCTAAAGCTTGTTTATTCTATGGTTCTTCGTGTATGCAGGTGCCTAAAGCTTGTTTATTCTATGGTTCTTCATGTATGCAGGTGCCTAAAGCTTGTTTATTCTTTGGTTCTTCGTGTATGCAGGTGCCTAAAGCTTGTTTATCATATGGTTCTTCATGTATGCAGGTGCCTAAAGCTTGTTTATTCTATGGTTCTTCGTGTATACAGGTGCCTAAAGCTTGTTTATCATATGGTTCTTTTGTGTATACAGGTGCCTAAAGCTTGTTTATTCTTTGGTTCTTCGTGTATGCAGGTGCCTGAAGCTTGTTTATTCTATGGTTCCTCGTGTATGCAGGTGCCTAAAGCTTGTTTCTCATATGGTTCTTTTGTGTATACAGGTGCCTAAAGCTTGTTTATTCTTTGGTTCTTCGTGTATGCAGGTGCCTAAAGCTTGTTTATCATATGGTTCTTCATGTATGCAGGTGCCTAAAGCTTGTTTATCATATGGTTCTTCATGTATGCAGGTGCCTAAAGCTTGTTTATTCTTTGGTTCTTCATGTATGCAGGTGCCTAAAGCTTGTTTATTCTTTGGTTCTTCGTGTATGCAGGTGCCTAAAGCTTGTTTATCATATGGTTCTTCATGTAAGCAGGTGCCTAAAGCTTGTTTATCATATGGTTCTTCATGTATGCAGGTGCCTAAAGCTTGTTTATTCTATGGTTCTTCATGTATGCAGGTGCCTAAAGCTTGTTTATTCTTTGGTTCTTCGTGTATGCAGGTGCCTAAAGCTTGTTTATCATATGGTTCTTCATGTATGCAGGTGCCTAAAGCTTGTTTATTCTATGGTTCTTCGTGTATACAGGTGCCTAAAGCTTGTTTATCATATGGTTCTTTTGTGTATACAGGTGCCTAAAGCTTGTTTATTCTTTGGTTCTTCGTGTATGCAGGTGCCTAAAGCTTGTTTTTCATATGGTTTTTCGTGTATACAGTTGCTTAAAACTTGTTTATCATATGGTTCTTCGTGTATGCAGGTGCTTCAAGCTAGTTTATTCTTTTGTTCTTCGTGTATGCAGGTGCCTAAAACGTGTTTATCATATGGTTCTTCGTGTATGCAGGTGCCTAAAGCTTGTTTATGCTATGGTTCCTCGTGTATGCAGGTGCCTAAAGCTTGTTTATGCTATGGTTCCTCGTGTATGCAGGTGCCTAAAGCTTGTTTATCATATGGTTCTTTTGTGTATACAGGTGCCTAAAGCTTGTTTATTCTTTGGTTCTTCGTGTATGCAGGTGCCTAAAGCTTGTTTATCATATGGTTCTTCGTGTATGCAGGTGCCTAAAGCTTGTTTATTCTATGGTTCTTCGTGTATACAGGTGCCTAAAGCTTGTTTATCATATGGTTCTTTTGTGTATACAGGTGCCTAAAGCTTGTTTATTCTTTGGTTCTTCGTGTATGCTGTTGCCTAAAGCTTGTTTATCATATGGTTCTTCGTGTATGCAGGTGCCTAAAGCTTGTTTATTCTTATGTTCTTCGTGTATACAGGTGCCTAAAGCTTGTTTATTCTTTGGTTCTGTGTGTATACAGGTGCCTAAAACTTGTTAATGGTATGGTTCTTCATGTATGTCTAGAGCTTTTTATTCTATGGTTCTTCGTGTATGCAGGTGCCTAAAGCTTTTGTGCTCTGGTTCTTCGTGTATGCAGGTGACTAGAACTTGTTAATAATACAGTTAGTCAAGCTTGCATGCACTAGAGGCTTGTTCATGATACTGTTTCTAATTTATGTTGGAGCCTGAGTTTGTTACTTTTATTAGGCCTGAGGATATATAACATATCTAGATTATTGTAATGCTTTCAGGCCATTGCATTTTGGAAGGAAGACTGGTTTTTTGCTTATCAAAGGCTCGCGGGTCCCTGTCCCAACTTGATCCATCACTGCAAACGAATCCCAGACAGGTAAGTTAAATTGTCAAACAGTCACGAAGTTATCAAGGACTTAATTAATCGACCTGTTTCAGCGTTTGGAGACAATAACTTGATACCGAATCTTAATCATGAGTGTATCGTTCAGGTTAGCTGTCGAGGACATTGACCTGACGCCTTTCGGGGAAAGAGGTGGCTCTTGAAGATGGGAAGTTGTTTTATTGCGACTTGAGAATACTGGAAGACATCCCTCACAAGAAGGACTATACTGTAAGTTCATATTATATACATCAGTGTGAAAGATTTCCGAAGTTGAGAAAAGTGATATTGTCATTGCAGTGAACATATCACTTGATATTTCACTGCAGTGAACATAACACCTTGACGGAGCTCTTGTCAAACAAGAGTTACCTCCCCTTAATATTGCCTCCCTTTGTCGTAAGTGTTGGTTGGTTGGTTTGTTGTTTAACTCAGCAATATTCCAGCTATATGATGGCTGTCTGTAAATAATCGAGTCTGGACCAGACAATCCTGTGATTAATATCATGAGCATCGATCCACGCAATTGGGATCGATGATTGTCGTAAATGACTAGCCCGTACACAAACTGTTGACGTTCGTTTTACTTTAGGTCCACATTGACAAGGCAAAATAATGACAGATCGTTATGGAGTTAATATCACTTCTTGCCGTTTGTTATTCCCTCGAAAGTGTTTCCTTATAAACTGTAAATTTCTCATTTAAATCGTCAATCGAGACTGTTCGTTTCGCAAAGCCCCATTTTTGTTACTTGACCAGCGTGTATTCTTTCGCTTTCAACACTGGCAACAGCGGGGTCCTAACGGTTTTCAAAAATATATTTTTATTAAAGTTGATTTTGTATATAATCGTATCTTAATGTATGATAAAGAATTTTCGAGACCCTAAATATCACTTTATACTTTTGTTTATTTTTTTAAAGATTTTGCAAACAGGAAACTACTTTTAAGTCGCAAATACAAGGGGTGGTGACGGTCCCTGTGTGTTGGATAGGGATAATTTACGTTTAAAGGTTTTACATTTGTAATGAAATAATTTAATTTTCTGGTAGACAACTACACAAAAAGTATATAATAAATAGGATATTCCATGTGTCGATTGAAATATGATGTTTCTCTCATCTCGTGACGGGGGATTATGATATAACTAACCCCCTCTCTCTAGTTAAACTGGCTACCCTTGGGTTGTTAAAGTAGTCACTTCAAAGTGTAAGATTGGACAGGATTTTCTTGTGTTTTTAGGTTTTCTTATTTCGTATTATTTGCGGAACACAATTTTGTGATTGAACTTATTATCCCCCTATATTACACAAAATCTTGCTTTGACATTTAATAAAAAACTTAGACTTATTATATGATACAATTGGCCTGATGCCTGAGCAGGTCATTCACATAACGTACCCCTTTCTCATTCTACTTATATATAGTATGCATTTCTATTAATTAAAATGGTTTTTTTGGCGAAGTTATTTTCATATTTTCAATGTTGGCATTCTCTGAGCAAGAAGTGAAGTTCCACTAGGCAGAAAGAAGGTCACAATATAGAATGTTTTCACATTAACTTTCGAATATATTCGAAGATCCAAGTTTATAATATGTTGTTTGAAAAAAGTTCGTCTCCTTTTGATGACCTCTGCGTAGAATCTATTTATCAATGAAATTGTTTGTGCTTGTATTATTTCCTATATTTTGCTATATTTAAACCTCCATCTTTGACGCTACACATTTGTTAATCTCTTTTCACCTTGTCCGGTTTACTTCCCCATATGAATCTGAAACCGTTACGTCTTCTATAAATTATCTGGTGGGTTCGGGAGGTAGGAAAAAAGGTGGCAAGTGATTTCTATATACAGTTTCTTCCCAAAGATGACGGGTTGCGCGCTAACCAGATGAACATAAGAGTCTCACATTTTCTAAGTGTATCTTTATTATTCATAATAGTATATAGTATTATAATAACAAAATAGTTGAATCATGTCGTCAAGATCAAGATTAAATGTTATCTTCAGTAATTCAAATGTGTTCTGAACCCGGGATAGTCTCCATTTCTGACGTAGATTCATTCTTCAACGTTTTCCGAGTCAATCCAGAGCCAGAGTTGAACAGCCTGATTTTCGTGCTACTCGATACCACCTTGGAGCTCCATATGTTCTTCAGCTGCAAGTATGCTGTCCTTGCCTTGCCGATTCTTGCTCTGACGTCTGCGTCTGTGCCTCCCTGCTTATCAATGATGCTGCCCAGATATGTAAAGGCCTCCACTTCTTCCAGCTCGCTTTCATGCAGTATGAGTAGGTCCTCGCTTTTCATGTTGATCAAGAGGATATTGGTCTTGCCCTCATGGATCTTGAGACCAACCTGTGAAGAGGTTGTTTCCAGCTCTGTTGTCTTGTCCTGCATCCGTTGGTGGCTGTGGGAAAGCAGGGCTAGGTTACATTACTTACATTCTACAGTACTGTATTTTACTAAAACTCTGTATTTGGAAATCATTCCACTCTCTCTACAGGTATGTGCCCCGATCCTGTTGCTGTACAGAACCAACAGTGGCCAGCTGCTTCCAGTCGCCATCCAGCTGTTCCAGGAACCAGGACCAGACAACCCGGTAATACATGACGTATTCTCAGTTCTTCAGCCAACGAGCGTGCTTCACGAAATGTACATACGTTAATTAGTAAAAGACGACTACTACAATACACAAATAGATGAGGTATGTATAGATGTGTATAGCATTATGTGGGGCGGAAACAGATCATGATCGCTGTTCCGCTGTAAGGAAGGATGAAAGGTGCCCGATAAAGCGAACATAAAATATTGCTTTCCCAGAGTCTTCTGCAGCGTCACCGTGCTCAATTTATGCTGCATACAAGTGCGTCCGACTATGGGGTACCTTTACGATACCTCTAAACAATTTCAAGTCTTTAATGGACATATTTAATAATTAGTATAGACCATGCGTAACAATTAAGTCTTTTTTCACTCATATAGCAGAAAATCATGCTTTTTTTAATATACTCTTTTTTATGCTGATAAACTCCTAAACAGTGATCGGCCATGTGGTCCGGTAGCCTTCACCATATTATGAAATTTCGTTCTTTAATAAATATAACCCATGTGGTCAGTTCTTGAAAAATAGGCCTCTTTGAAAGATTGTCGACAATGACAATGTTCAGCCGTAAGGTCAGACATATTGTTATGTACATTTCAAGGTTCAAGGTTTTACCTGTAGCGTCCCGCTATGTTTATCAAATTAGGAGATGCTATGTGTGTGTTTTAAATTACAAAACATCGAATAGAACAGTTGTTTACAGGCCGTCTTTGCATGGCAGGAGTATATTTTGATTGATTGATTCAAGGAGTAATTGTGGCTGCTGATATCGGTAGGGCAGGATGTGCTTACACCTAGTGTCATTGCTATTTTGCCTTTTCATGGAATCTGCTTCGGTGGATAATTGAGACTGATGATTCTGTAACATTGACGTTTTATCTTTCTTGACACCAGGTGTTCCTGCCGTCAGATGACCAGTACGTGTGGCTGCTGGCCAAGATGTGGTACAACCAAGCAGAGACGACATACCACCAGAGCGTAGCTCACCTTGGTAATAGTGATAGAGCAGCCAAAAACAACCTGATCATAGTTTATTAAAATATATATACTGTCATGGTTGGCTTTCAATATACATATTTCCCTGTATGTCATTTAAGAAATGTCTTCAGTTAAATGAATGTAAATGTAATGGTCCTAACGATGCGACCCGTGGAGATCCGGGGTAGAATAGGTCTTCAGCAACCCATTTACAGACCGCCGTTATATAGCTGGAATATTGCTGAAGGCGGTGTTAAACGACAAACAAGTAAACAAACCATACTGATGCGTCCATGTCACATACCAGATGTCATTGCACTGTGTACAGGTATCACCCATCTGCTGATGGAGGGAGTGGACCTGGTTACTCACAGGCAGCTCTCTGTGTATCACCCGATCTACAAGCTCCTGGCACCGCACCTCTTTTACACTATGGCTATCAACAAGTACGTATCAGAAGGACAATTTCGGCCCGATTTGCTGACATAAATGCCATACACGTAAATCTATTCTCTCAAATAATATTCTTTCCTCCATATCATGTTCCAAGTAGTAGGTAGTTGAGGTCGTTCGGCCTCCACTGTACACTAAATACCGCTACATAGCACAGAACTAGTATAGTGACAATGTGTTATGCACATGGTGTAGCGAACTTCAGATGAGACTAATATCAATCTGGACTAATAAGGGTGGGCTGCAAATATTAATATAAAACATGCAAACTGTAAGTACATTTTGTCAATTCTTTCAATATTGCTGCCAATGTTTTGCTACGAGTGTCCGCTGTATGCTTCCCTATAAAGCCTCTTTCCTAATAAACACTTGTAATGACTCTCAGACATTAGAGGTGAGGTGAGGTGAAATTGGGTTCAACGTCGCGTCCAAGATTATTGCACTTATATAGCGACGTGCATATGTGTGTGTGTGTGTGTGTGTGTGTGTGTGTGTGTGTGTGTGTGTGTGTGTGTGTGTGTGTGTGTGTGTGTGTGTTTGTACTAGTACGGACTGATGCCGAATTATAGTGCTAGCCCACTGACATACCATGCCGCAGTTTAACATGAATACCCCACTCAGACACAGTATACTGACTCCGAGCCGACGAGTCCTTGTTTTAGCCCATTGATGCCAAGCGCCAGACTGGGTAACAACAAGTACCACCTTTTAACGACTTTTGGTATGACGCGGTCGGGGATCGAAACCGGCGGACGTTCTACCACTAGACCAAGGAGGCGGTCCTCAGACATTAGAATAAACATAGTACATAAAGTGACACATGAAATGTTAGCATATGGTTTACACCCTTCGTGACTGGTTGTAGTTGTTTTTGTTGTTTTGTTGTTTAATGCCGCACTCACCAATATTCCAGCTATATGACGGCGGTCTGTAAATAATCGAGTCTGTCCCAGACAATCCAGTGATTGATATCATGAGCATCGATCCATGCAAATGGGATCGATGACATGCATCAACCAAGTGAACGAGCCTGACCACCCGATCCCGTTAGTTGCCTCTTACGACAAGCATATTCGATTATTTACAGACCGCCGTCATATAACTGGAATATTGCTGAGTGAGACGTAAAACAACAAACAAACAAACAAAAGCATTAGGAGACTACGTCTGGAATAAGCTGTTCAAAGATTATACCTTGTTCCATGATTTAAGGAAGGGCCGTGAGCTGCTGCTGAGAAGGGGAACTTTAGACACGTTGATGTCTTCTGGAATAAAAGGCGTTAAAAGTCTTATTGCCAAAAGGTTAGTATAGGATATAATGCAGGTTCAATTTGCTACATGAATTCAAAACACCTGACAATGAAGATAATAAATGAATATATGTAATTTAATTACGGCTCCGATCATTTCTTTATTACAAACATCTGTGTTGTTTAACAGTCTGGAAACATGGCGTCTGGACGTGGACGGCACTTTACCAGAAGACCTGAAGAACAGAGGGGTATGTCTAAATGTTAACAGTAGGCTTTGAGAGTAAAACGTGCCCCTAGTGGTCTTCAGTCACTGTAGAAAGTCTAAGTTATAGTGCATGTCATGTTAAATACATGGTAGCATCTACACATTCATCATCGGAGTTTGTCATCTACACGACCATAGTGTCCAGGTAATGCAGGAGACACGTACAGGGTTGTTGGGTCAAGCCAAGAATTCTTCATGTTCATCGTCTTCTTCTTGTTCGTCGTCTTCTTCTTGTTCGTCGTCTTCTTCTTGTTCATCATCTTCTTCTTGTTCGTTGTCTTCTTCTTGTTCGTCGTCTTCTTCTTGTTCGTCGTCTTCTTCTTGTTTGTCGTCTTCTTCTTGTTCGTCGTGTTCTTCTTGTTCGTCTTTTTCTTCTTGTTCGTCTTTTACTTCTTGTTCGTCGTCTTCTTCTTGTTCGTCGTCTTCTTCGTCTTCTTCTTGTTCGTCGTCTTGTTCTTGTTCGTCGTCTTGTTCTTGTTCGTCGTCTTGTTCTTGTTCGTCGTCTTCTTCTTGTTCGTCTTTTTCTTCTTGTTCGTCTTTTTCTTCTTGTTCGTCGTCTTCTTCTTGTTCGTCTTTTTCTTCTTGTTCGTCTTTTTCTTCTTGTTCGTCTTATTCTTCTTGTTCGTCTTTTTCTTCTTGTTCGTCTTTTTCTTCTTGTTCGTCGTCTTCTTCTTGTTCGTCTTTTTCTTCTTGTTCATCTTTGTCTTCTTGTTCGTCGTCTTTTTCTTGTTCGTCGTCTTCTTCTTGTTCGTCGTCTTCTTCTTCTTCTTCGTCTTCTTCTTGTTCGTCGTCTTCTTCTTGTTCGTCTTTTTCCTCTTGTTCGTCTTTTTCTTCTTGTTCGTCTTTTACTTCTTGTTCGTCGTCTTCTTCTTGTTCGTCTTTTTCTTCTTGTTCGTCGTCTTCTTCTTGTTCGTCGTCTTCTTCTTGTTCATCTTTTTCTTCTTGTTCATCATCTTCTTGTTCGTCTTTTTCTGCTTGTTCGTCGTCTTCTTCTTGTTCGTCGTCTTCTTCTTGTTCATCTTTTTCTTCTTGTTCGTCGTCTTTTTCTTGTTCGTCGTCTTCTTCTTGTTCGTCGTCTTCTTCGTCATCTTCTTATTATTATCGGTGCAGTTGCTGTGTAATATTATTGGTGTTGCACAGTCTCTGCTTCCAATGTTTGTTGCGCAGTGGAAGGCGTCGTCGTTGAAGTGTATACCATTCGTCTTTTCTCCACAACAATTGGTGTTACATACCTGTTGACATTAAGACCCGTATTTGCAGTTTTCTGGTGAAAATGAATAAAGCCTTTCCTTTTTGAGCAATCGAGACCCTTGGGCTTCGTATTGATATTGTAAAAAAAAGCGACAAAATTCTTTCCATATCCACAAGTAAAACATTTATCCTTTTACTGCCTCCTCATATTCATCAGTTCGCCGCCTCTTCCCCCTCACTATTCTTCTCTGTCTGTCGCTTCTTTTATACTTTTGCTCCTGCTCGCAGCCTAGTGGTTAAAGCCTTCGCTCGTCACGGCGAAAAACGGGTTAATACCTGACATGGGTACAATGTGTGAGTGAGTTGTATTTAACGCCGCTTTTAACAGTATTCCAGTTATATCGCGGCGTGTCAGCTTAATGTGGCAGGAAAGCCCGGTGTGATGCAGGTCTCCGACGTTTATCACTTCGGTGAAACCCACGAGCACGGGTATGGTACTGACTAACCTAGAAACATAATCGTGGCGAATCGGGATTCGAACCCACCATCATAGATTTCTGGTGTGCCCAAGGGACGCAACTCTGAACAGCGAATTGCGGGTACAATGTGTGAAGCCCATTACTGGGGTCCCCCGCTGTGATATTGCTGGAACATTGCTAAAAGCGGCGTAAAACCACACTCTTTCAGTCTTTCATCTAATATCACCTGCTCAACTCCTCTCTAATTCCTTTCCCCTTCTACTCCTCCCCTTCTCCCCTTCTTAGAGCTCCAGATAACTATTGAGCATCTGAAGTTTTACTCGAAGGTCTCCATTTCAATTGTTTTATTACATTTTACATTTGGTAACGAATATTTTTTCACTTATCTATTCATCACTCATGTGGATTTTTCTCCAAATGAGTAAACATTTTGAGATTTCAAAAAAATAAAATAGTGTTTCAGATGTGAGTGAGTGAGTATGGTTTTACGCCGCTTTTAGCAATATTCCAGCAATATCACGGCGGGTGTTTCAGATGTATTTAACGGTTCTAAATATGGGCTTGACTCGGAAAGTAAAATATCTTGTAATTGTGAAATTAGCTCCGTTGTACGCATGCTGAAAAAACTTCATTGGGTATTTACTTGTGCTGTTTTATACATTTTTTCATTTAATGCATGGGTTACTGTACGCACGTTAATTGAAAGTAATTGGGTTTTGAATATTTTATTCATGTACACATTTTAATTTAGGGGGTATTTAACGCAAACACGTAGCTTATTTGCAGCTCTGAGCCTTCTTCTCAAACATCTCCTCCCCTCCTACTCATTGCCCAAATCATTCTGGTTCTCCTCTTCTCCATCTTCTTCTTCTCCTTCTCCTACATCTATTTGTACATTAACTTTATGGAACTGTTTTCTATTTTCAGGGGGGCGGTCGGGTAGCCTAGTGGTTAAAGCGTTCGCTCGTCACGCCGAAGACCCGGGTTCGATTCCCGACATGGGTACAATGTGTGAAGCCCATTTCTGGTGTCCCCCGCCGTGATATTGCTGGAATATTGCTAAAAGCGGCGTAAAACCTCACTCACTCACTCACTCACTCACTCACTCTATTTTCAGGTCGATAGTGCTGATGTTTTGGGCCCTTACTACTACCGAGATGACGCCATGAAGGTGTATAACGCCATCAAGACATATGTCAGCAAATACGTCCAAGTATATTACAGTAAGTCTATTACAGCCAACTGATTGGTTCAGACACAGGACAAAAACATGGGCAGAATCGTCAGCCATCACGGTACATGAATATTGAATCATAAGCATTGTGGTAATGATATGAAAGAAACATGTTAGAACATTTAAATTCGAATCTACAATGGATTAGTTGTAGTGGAAGTATACAAGTATGACGCCATCAGTTGATGACTTCATTCCAATTTCTTTATGCAGTAAACATTGTTGAAAACGTTGGTATGTGCACAGTGTGTCAGCATTATGTGTTGTCTCTGTTTGTCTGTTGATTAACGCCGCACTCAGCAATATTCCAGCTATATGACGGCGGTCTGTAAATAATCGTGTCTGGACCAGACAATCCAGTGATTGACATCATGAGCATCGATCCATGCAATTGGGATACGATGACATGCATCAACCAAGTCAGCGAGTCTGACCACCCGATCCCGTTAGTCGCCTCTTACAACAGGCATAGTCGCCTATTACGGCAAGCATGGGTTGCTGAAGACCTATTCTACCCCGGATCTTCACGGGTCTACGGGAAACATGAGGATAACGCAATAGGCTTCACGTTAAATTACCAACTATCAAATACTAGATAGCACAAGTAGAAAAAAGAAGATGTAGTTCATTTAGTTCGTATTGTAGGTGTGCACAGATATGGTCCTTAAAGGCTCTTTTGGAGCATGTCTCGAGGGAGAGATAGACCAAAGGCTATGTAGCTCGTATGCATCATGGGATGTTTAGACAAAAGATGTACCTCGCCTTATCCATGTGTCGCCGAGGGGCTTGACTAAATGTGTGGCTCCTCTTATCTATGCGTCACGGAATGACTAAGTTAGAGATTAGCTCATCTTATCTACGCATCACGGAAAGACTAAACTAAAGATGAAACTCGTCTTATCTATGCGTCACGAAATGGCTAGACTGAGGGTTTAGCTCCTCTTATCTATGCCTCACGGAATGAGAAAACTAAAAATGTAGCTCGTCTTATCTATACATCACGGAATGACTAAACTAAAGATGTAGCTCGTCTTATCTATGCGTCACGGAATGACTAAACTAATGATGTAGCTCGTCTTATCTATGCGTTACGCAATGACTAACAAAATATATAGCTAGTCTCTTCTATGTGTCACGGAATGGCTAGACTAAAGATGTAGTTCGTCTTATCTATGTGTCACGGAATGGCTAGACTAAAGATGTAGTTCGTCTTATCTATGTGTCACGAAATGGCTAGACTAAAGATGTAGTTCGTCTTATCTATGTGTCACGGAATGACTAAACTAAGACGTAGCTCATCTTATATATGCGTCTAGGAATGACTAAACTAATGATGTAGCTTGTCTTATCTACGCGTCACGTTATGACTAAACAAAAGATGTTGCTTGTCTTATCTGTACCTCACGGAATGACTTAACTAAAGACGTAGCTCGTCTAATCTATACGTCACGGAATGACTAAACTAAAGATAAAGCTAGTCTCTTCTATGTGTCATGGAATGGCTAGACTAAAGATGTAGTTCGTCTTATCTATGTGTCACGGAATGACTAACTAAAGACGTAGCTCGTCTATTCTTTACATCACGGAATGACTAAACTAAAGATATAGCTAGTCTCTTCTATGTGTCACTGAATGGCTAGACTAAAGATGTAGTTCGTCTTATCTATGTGTCACGGAATGACTAACTAAAGACGTAGCTCGTCTATTCTTTACATCACGGAATGACTAAACTAAAGATATAGCTAGTCTCTTCTATGTGTCACCGAATGACTAAACTAAAGATGTAGCTTGTCTTATCTATGCGTCACGGAATGACTAAACTAATAATGTAGCTCATAGAACCTACGCATCACGGCATGACTAAACTAAATATGTAGATCGTCTGATATATGCGTTACGGAATGACTTAACTAAAGATGTAGCTAGTGTTATCTATGTGTTACGGAATGACTTAACTAAAGATGTAGCTTGTCTTACCTATGTGTCACGGAATGACTAAACTAAGGATGTAGCTTGTCTTACCTATGCGTCATGTTATGACTAAACTAAAGATGTAGCTCATCTTATAATGCGTCACGGAATGACTTAACTAAAGATGTAGCTCCTCTTATCTATACATCACGGAATGGCTAAACTAAAGATGTAGCTCGTCTTATCTATGCATTACAGAATGACTAAACTGAAGATGTAGCTTCTCTTATCTACGCGTCACGGAATGATTAAACTAAAGACGTGGCTCGTCTTATCTATACTTCACACAATGATTAAACTAAAGACGTAGCTCATCTTATCTATACGTCACGGAATGACTAAACTAAAGACGTAGCTCTTCTTATCTATACGTCACGGAATGACTTATCTAAAGATGTATCTCGTCTAACCTATGCATCACTGAAAGACTAAACTGAAGATGTAGCTCAACTTATCTACGCATCACGGAATGACTAAACTAAAGATGTAGCTTGTCTTATCTATGCGTCACGTTATGACTAAACAAAAGATGTTGCTCGTCTTATCTGTACCTCACGGAATGACTTAATTAAAGACGAAGCTCGTCTAACCTATACGTCACGGAATGCCTTAACTAAAGATATAGCTAGTCTCTTCTATGTGTCACGGAATGGCTAGACTAAAGATGTAGCTCATCTTATCTACGCATCACGGAATGACTAAACTAAAGATGTAGCTTCTCTTATCTACGCGTCATGTTATGACTAAACTAAAGATGTAGCTCATCTTACAAATGCATCACGGAATGACTAAACTAAAGATGTAGCTTGTCTTATATATGTATCACGGAATGACTAAACTAAAGATGTAGCTCATCTTATCTACGCATCACGGATTGACTAAACTAAAGATGTAGCTTCTCTTATCTACGCGTCATGTTATGACTAAACTAAAAATGTAGCTCATCTTACATATGCATCACGGAATGACTAAACTAATGATGTAGCTTGTCTTATATATGCACCACGGAATGACTAAACTAAAGATGTAGCTCATCTTATCTACGCATCACGGAATGACTAAACTAAAGATGTAGCTTGTCTTACATATGTGTCATGTTATGACTAAACTAAAGATGTAGCTCATCTTATATATGCGTCACGGAATGACTAAACTAAAGATGTAGCTTGTCTTATCTATGTGTCACGTTATGACTTAACTAAAGATGTAGCTCATCTTATCTACGCATCACGGATTGACTAAACTAAATATGTAGCTTGTCTTATCTACGCGTCACGTTATGACTAAACAAAAGATGTTGCTTGTCTTATCTGTACCTCACGGAATCACTAACTAAAGACGTAGCTTGTCTAATCTATACGTCACGGAATGACTAAACTAAAGATAAAGCTAGTCTCTTCTATGTGTCATGGAATGGCTAGACTAAAGATGTAGTTCGTCTTATCTATGTGTCACGTTATGACTAAACAAAAGATGTAGCTCGTCTTATCTACGCATCACGCAATGACTTAACTCAAGACGTAGCTCGTCTAATCTATACGTCACGGAATGACTAAACTAAAGATAAAGCTAGTCTCTTCTATGTGTCATGGAATGGCTAGACTAAAGATGTAGTTCGTCTTATCTTTGTGTCACGGAATGACTAAACTAAAGATGTAGCTCATCTTATATATCCGTCACGGAATGACTAAACTAATAATGTAGATCGTCTTATCTATGCGTTACGCAATGACTAACTAAAGATATAGCTAGTCTCTTCTATGTGTCACAGAATGGCTAGACTAAAGATGTAGTTCGTCTTATCTATGTGTCAAGGAATGGCTAGACTAAAGATGTAGTTCGTCTTATCTATGTGTCACGGAATGCCTAGTCTAAAGATGTAGTTCGTCTTATCTATGTGTCACGGAATGACTAAACTAAAGCTGTAGCTCATCTTATATATGCGTCACGGAATGACTAAACTAATGATGTAGCTCGTCTTATCTATGCGTTACGCAATGACTAACTAAAGATATAGCTAGTCTCTTCTATGTGTCATGGAATGGCTAGGCTAAAGATGTAGTTCGTCTTATCTATGTGTCACGGAATGGCTAGACTAAAGATGTAGTTCGTCTTATCTATGTGTCACGGAATGGCTAGACTAAAGATGTAGCTCGTCTTATCTATGCGTCAGGGAATGATTAAAATAAAGATAAGCTTGTCTTATCTACGCATCACGGAATGACTAAACTAAATATGTAGCTCGTCTTATATATGCATGACGGAATGACTAAACTAATGATGTAGCTCGTCTTATCTATGCGTTACGCAATGACTAACTAAAGATATAGCTAGTCTCTTCTATGTGTCACGGAATGGCTAGGCTAAAGATGTAGTTCGTCTTATCTATGTGTCACGGAATGGCTAGACTAAAGATGTAGCTCGTCTTATCTATGTGTCACGGAATGACTAAACTAAAGACGTAGCTCAACTTATATATGCGTCACGGAATGACTAAACTAATCATGTAGCTCGTCTTATCTATGCGTTACGCAATGACTAAACTAAAGATATAGCTAGTCTCTTCTATGTGTCACGGAATGGCTAGACTAAAGATGTAGTTCGTCTTATCTATGTGTCACGTTATGACTAAACTAAAGATGTAGCTCATCTTACCTACGCATCACGGAATGACTAAACTAAAGATGTAGCTAGCGTTATCTATGCATCACAGAATTGCTAGACTAAGGATGTAGCGCCTCTTATCTATTCGTCACAGAATGACTAAACTAAAGATGTAGCTTGTCTTACCTATGCGTCATGTTATGACTAAACCAAAGATGTAGCTCGTCTTATATATGCGTCACGGAATGACTAAACTAAAGATGTAGCTTGTCTTATCTATTCGTCACAGAATGACTAAACTAAAGATGTAGCTCGTCTGATCTTTGTGTCACGGAATGACTAAACTGAAGATGTAGCTTGTCTTATCTATTCGTCACAGAATGACTAAACTAAAGATGTAGCTTGTCTTACCTA